ACCAAACCCCAGAATGCAAGTTGGAGAGGGGTAGGTTCGGCATCAGCGTGCTTTGCATTGATTTCTAATTGTTTTTGTGTCCTGCTTATAACTTGTTTTTCTTTACTGAGATTTCTCATCATTCCATTGATTACCAATATATTTTGTGTTATTCTGTGTGTGTGTGTGTGTGTGTGTGTGTGTGTGTGTGTGTTACCAGGGATACACTGTGTGTGTTACCAGGGGTACACAGTGTGTTGCACTGAGGTACATCCCTAGCCTTTTTTTCACTGTGATTTTGAGACACGATCTCACTAAGTCATTCAATTGTTCATGCTGGCCTTCAGTGTACAATCCTCCTGCCTCAGCCTCACAGAGCTAGGATTATAGACCTGCATCATCACACCAGACTGTTCTCAATTATCTGCTGGGACACAGTTATACTAGGTGTGTTTTAATCTTTATTTGAAATTCCACTGTGTGGCCCGTCTAGATTAGTTTCTTGGTTGTGTTTTCAGGGTTCCTGCTTCTCATAGGCTGAGTAATACTGGGTTCATCCTAGGATGTTTACACTGTGGACTCTGGCCCACGTTCTCCTCCTCGGGAAAAGGTTGAGTTGTTGGTGCTCTCGGGTTGGCAGAAGAGGAGGAGCAGCATTAACCTGTCAGGCTCAACCTCTAAGCTGTCTCCACTGCAGGGAGCAGCGGCTCTAGCCCAGCTCAGGGCTCTCAGTGTCACAGGTGCCCAGATGGCCCCAAGTCTGACCCCTCGCTCTCTATCGCTTCCCTTCTGTGCACTCCTCCCTTGCCAGCACCTCCCGTAATTGCCCCAAACTGGCCATCAGCTTGAAGAGGGGAAAACTGAATTCTGAGCTCTCACCTCGCTCAGGTACTGCCCCTGACCCAGAGCCATAAAACAAGCCCCGCTTTCGGCAGCTCCTCACCTCACCGCCACGGCCCCAGAACTTGTGTCACTTCTTAGCCCAGCTCTTATAGCTCTTATTTCTTTCTCCAAATACAAAACATATTTGGTTGCACAGGAGCACAGCCGGCCGTTTCCCAAGCGATGCCCAGCTGTGCTTCCGTCTACACATGAATAACCAGGCACACATGCCCGTGTGGCAGGCGCCAGGTCCCCTGCCTGGAGCTAGCACAGTGCCCGGCCCAGGGCTGGCGATGGGATCCGCTCTGATCCCAAGGACTTTGCACTGAGCTCCAGCCACAGCCATGGCTTGCAGAAGATGGGTGATTGGGGTTCAGTGGAGCCTTC